AGACCAAAATTATCTTTTGCTGCAGTCCCAGGGAAGAGCTCAGTGTATTTCATTGGCTCCACTGGTCATATGCCTATCCCTGAATACTCATTATACCCTGAAGAGTACAATATTGTGATTGGCCAGGATGAATCCCCACCCAGAACTCAAGAACTAATTCTTGGAAAGAGATGGGTTCCCAAAGGAAAAATTACAAGTTGTTCCCAAAAGAAAGGGTAGGGGAACAGAACTTATCCTAATATTCCTTACTTTTCTTTCCCAAGAAAATTCTCATTTTCCTTGTGATAGGAACAATTATCTGCTTCTAATTAAATTTCAAGTCTGTAATGCCTAGAGTGTAACAAATTCAGAAAACACTTTTAATTATGCTGATCACAGAGTTTGTGGATAGAGGTGACTTCTGTGTTTGACTAACTCATATAAGAATGTTAGAAATGATTCATATCTCATTTTGAAAATCATAATCTCAGTATGTGTTAATTTTGTTTTTGCCATATACAAATGCTACTTGATTACTCTTGCACATGAAGTTATTTGACTAGCATGCAATTTGTAATATGCCTGAAAAGCAAAGTAATGAAATGACTCAGAGCTGCAGAATGATTCTGGGCAAGTTTGGTGGGCACTTGGTGTAAAAGAAAGCTTTTGTCAGGGCATGGTGCTGAAATACTTTTGTGTGGGAATCTCCAAGTCCTCACACATAGTTTGACATAATCTATGCTATCTGACTCTTCCTGTCATTGTTCTCAGGTCTGCAATAAAATCATCTTTCTGATGAGCTTTGTGGGCAACTGTGGAACATTCACCAGGGGCTACCGGGCCATGATTCTGGATGTTGAGTTCCTGTATCACTTGCTGTATCTGGTGATCTGTGCCATGGGGCTCTTTGTCCACGAGTTCTTCTACAGTTTGCTGGTGAGTAAGAGGTACTGAAATATTTTATGCATGGAGAACTAGAAGAGTCTCCCGTGTCCTCTCTCATCACAGGCTCTTCCTTTGAATGTCAGCTGGTGTGCCTGGTCCAGCAAGGTCAAGGCCCCACTGCACTAGCCTTTGGAGGGAAGTCTCTGAGAGGAAAATGACCCAGGACATAGGACAGCTAGAGGTGCATGATCACACCATGTGGTATGCACAGCACATCTGTTGCTCTCCAGTCATAAAAAATACCTACAGTGTGGTTCAGGAAATGTTTCCTTTGTGTGCACCTTGACTTCCCAGATATGGCCAGAACTTACAAGGGCAGTGTTTTTGAGACTTACCATCTACAGTCCCCTTGGGTTCCATTTCTCAATGAAAATAAGCAGTGACCTAAGACTAAGAGCTACATTCAAAGCATCAGGACTCATGATAATGAGTATGATCTATTCGTTGATCAGGAGACCTTTTCAGTAGAAGTTATTTTATTCTAACTCAGCCAAGTGGTTAAGGTCTTGACAGTCTATACAATGAGTTGGTTCTTTCCCTTTCTTCTTGGCTGATTTTTAAATTACATATTGAATACCTGCTTGCTTTCCTGTAGTTGGAGGAAACCTAGACCTGTAGAATTGAAAATAAGAAACCATTTCCTTGTCCATAAGTAACAGGAAGCATAGCGTTGACCTATCATAAAGAGACTCGAAGTATGAAGACGTAAAAATAAAAAAAAGACCGAAGCCTCAGTGTTGACTTAAAAAGGGGATGGACTTGAAAAAGGTGAAGCAAGGAAGGCTCTTTAGGCAGATGCTATTCATAGGGTTTCTGGGCTGGTTCTTCACTGCTCTGTACCTCAGTTTCCTCATCTACATAACATAAGGGGTGATCAGAAATAACAATGAATGTTTAAATTTTTAAATGTCATTACAGTAAAAGACACATTGACATTCATTAGTTCCACTCCAAATTTTCCCCCTCATTTCAAACACATTTATCTCACCATTCTTGCCACTTTCTAAAGCAGTTCTAGAAGTCCTCTTCTGTGCCTTTATGAGGTCAAAAATACCGTGAATGCTGCTACCAAGTGCTATCCAACAGGAAAGTAGGTTTGTATAAACATTGTGGTGTATGTTCATCCACTGTATTCACCACATTTAGCACCATGTGACTTCTGGCTCTTCCCTAAAGTCAAAATGGTCATGAAAGATAATATTTTGAATCAGTTCAGGACATTTTGGTAGCCACAACAGTGCAACTAAAGACATGAAAGAGGACTTCTAGAACTGCTTCAGAAAGTGTCAAGAATGATGGGCTAAATGTGTTTGAAGTGTAGAGAAGTATTTGAAGGGGATTAATGGCATTATGACTTTTACTATGGTAATTTTTAAAAAATTTAATATTCACCATATTTTTCAATCATACCTTGTCCTATCTCCCTCACAGAGCTGTCATAGAAATTATATGCAGCTGTTCTTGTTAAAGTCTTAGAATAACACAGCCATAGAAACGCTAGCTATTACTGTCTTTGTCATCCTCTATTTCCTCTCTCATCCAAAACACCATAAAGAATTCGCTAGGATTAGCTCATTGCATTAGTGGTAAATATTGGCAGGCTAAATGGAATGGATTATTTTCCCTCATTTTAAAGTAGGTCTGGCTATGCTTTGAGGTTTTAGGCAAAGAGGTCTCAGGATGTACTTGTGATTGTCATCATGTGGCCTATTTTGTACATTCTGTATCTGAAATCTTTAGAACCCTGTGTCTATTTCTGAGCCATTTTGTGTCATGTAATAATGTCCCGGGATGGGGTTCTGGCTTGTGAATCAGGGAGACCCACATCTGTCTGTCCGACAAATTCCTGTCCTCATTGGCTGTCGCTCGGAAGAGACAGGAGAGTTTCTTCAGACAGTTCCATCTGTCTCTGGTGGAGTTAGGCTTTTCCTGCTATCTCCCTCCAGTTGACTTCATTTATTTTTCCATTCATTTGCATCCTTTTTGGTCATTTGCAGTACCAGCCAATGCTATTGCTAGATGCAGCAGATACCATAATGAGATACACACGGGCCCTACCTCACAGCCTCATAGTCCAGAAAATAGTAGTTACTACCATTTATTGAGTGTTCATTGTGTACTCTTGCCCTATCCTGTCACAGTTCCTGTGAGGTACATGATTCTTCAAATTACATTCTAGCAGACCGAGATCTGATGTGTTGGCTTTGCCCCAAGTCAGAGTCAGTAAGAGGCAGAGCAGCATGGTCCTTCAACTCTGTTGACCCCTGAGTCCTAACCACCTTTCATCTGAGCATGTGAGAAGCTGGTACTTCACACTGCACTTCTCATTTGTGCTCTCATGTCTCTCAGCTGTCTCAGAATGATAAAGAGAAATTCTGAGCTTCCAGTGATGTTATCTGGGCTCAGTTCACTTTTAGAAAAATGTAGTAGGGTTAGTTGGTCAGCCTAGATTGTAGCGGATGCCTTTCCTTTGTGTTTCTGGGGGTTTTCCAAGCCCTCTGAACCTTGGCTTGTCTGTGGACTCAAGTCGTATTTCCCTTTTAGTGTTAAAAGCAGTGCTGAACATATCTGTTGAGAGCCATAGTTCAGATTATTCCACAAAGAAGAAAAGCTCGCAACCAAAAGAAACTGGGTTTCTGGAAAAAAAAAAAGGGATCTCCAGCAGAGAAAACCCATGTCTCCTGGGTTGTAAGAGCTTCTTCAATGGCAACAGGCCTGGAGGGAGGGGGTGTAATCTCATGGCCTAATGAAAATGCTACCCACCCTCTTGGAGACTGGCTGGACCTGGTCTCAAGCCTGCATTCAAGTTGTGTTTTAAGGAAAATATTAACACTCGAGGTGAAAATGTGCAAAGTTCATAAGCAGTTAACAAAAGGGGAAATCCAGATGGTCAGTAAACATGGAAAAATGTCTATCCTTACTGCTAAATAAAGACATGATAAGTAAATCAACCATGTGATTCTGGGCTTTACCTATGACATTAGAAGAAGTTAAAAAGCATGATGGTGCCTAGTACGGGTAGGAGTGGGGATAAAATGGATGTAATTCTGTTTAAGTGGTGAGCATAAACGGATGTAGCTGGTCTGGGCATCAATAGGCAATATGTTTCGGTTACAACATATGTCTCAAAGTTCCCATTTCTGGAAATTAACCAAAAATAAATATCTAGATGATGATTATAGAGATATGTACAGAGGTATTCACCACAGTATTATTTATAATGACATATAGTTGAAAACATCTTGGCTGTTCTTGAAAAAAAAGAATACTGATTATGTTAAGTGTTTTTCCATACAGTCAAATACGAGATCATTTTTGACATGAAAATATTCATGACTGGGCCGGGGATTTAGCTCAGTGGTTCCACCACCTGCCTCGCAAGCGCAAAGACCTGAGTTCAATCCCTGGTACCAAAAAAAAAGTGAAGAAAATATTCATGACTATTGAGTGAAAGACACTGGCTACATGCCAGTATTATGGTATAATTTTTTGTAAAGGGATGTATGGTATATACTACATCTTCTAAAAGTCAGAAGGAAGTAACTTGTTGAGTGGATGTTTGTAGATAATAAAATTATTAGTGATTTTTTTTCTTTGTGCTTACCTATGCTTTGCAAGTTTTTTTATTGGACATGTGTTATTTTTAAATTAAGGGTTCCTTCATATAAATAACACATGTTCATTGTTTTAAAATCAGAAATTATAGATGAATCAAAAAGAGGAAAAAGTCACTTGTCATTTCTATAATTTGGGGCAGTGTACTCTCTGGTTCTTAACTATAGAAAAAAAGAACCTTTTTTTTGTTATGTGAAGGTACTCTTAACTTGCAACTTTGGATTGAGTTGCTGGGAAATATTTAACCAACATTACCAGCAACGCTTAGCCTTTTATACTCTTCTATCGATTAAATGCCTCTTCTTGCTTCCTTTTAAGGATCCTACCTCACCTTCTTTCATTCAGACAAACAGTTTCAGGAACAGATTGGTGTTAGAAAGACAGAAAACCTAATTGACCAGAAAATGACCTCAGATATAAAATTCTAAGTTGGAAGAGACTCAGAGATTCAGTCCACTTACTTTACAGATGAGGAACTGGAGGTCCAGAGAGGTTAGATGGCTTGGTCAACATCTTGGAACAAATTAAAAGCGGAGTCAGAAGCCAGACCCCTTTTCCTTGTCTGACTTCTGTGTGCAAAATCATGCCCGAAAGCCACAGCAGAGACAAACCTTCAGGAGAGGATTAGATGTCAGTACAGAGATGGTATTAAAAATTAGGTGATAGCCAGGCCAAGTGCTGCATGCCTGCAATCCTAGCTATTCCAGTGCTGAGGCCGGAGGATTGTGAGTTGGAGGCCAGCCTGTGCAACATAGTGAGACTCCACCAAAAAGCAAACAAAAAATGGATTCCAATTCTAAGAGTAACCCCAGAGAACTCCCCTCCCATTGCTCACTATCACTCCCTCAACCAAACAGCTATGACTGTAGTTCTTGGAAAACTAGCCGTCAACTCCCCACATCTACATGTACCCCTCTTCCCCAGATATCCTGCATTTCACATAAAGCAGCTTCTGTAGGGAGCAGGTCCCCTGGCAGAGGGCTGGCCTAGATTGAGAAAGCACTGTGGACTGCAAGGGTCTTCCCCCTTCTAGGGGGGCAGGGGAGGGGAGGAGAGTAAGGGTTTAAACTTACTGGTGTGTCACTACCACACATGTCCCTGCCAAGTACTATATAACCTTGCCTCAGTCTCTTCATTAGAAAACTGATAATTACCATTCATTGTTCTTACTCAGCATGTAAGTATGTTCATATGCTAAATACTGTGTACATGGCCTATGTATACTTCATAATAACTCTATATCCACCAGTATGTAAATGAAAAAATTGAGGCTCAGAGAGGTCAAGGGACAGTACCTAACCCAAGATCATAGTGGTCATTCAGTAGCTCAGTTAAGATCTGAACTTGTATTGACCAGAGTCCTTGCTGCTCTCCCTGGCTTGTAGTCAATGTCTGTTTTCCCCATCAGACTTGGCTCTAGGAAGGCAAGGACCATGGTTCTGGCCCTTAATAGAAACTCAATAATTATATCCTGAAGGAATGTATGGAAAGACTCTTAGCACTTTGGTCTCCAAAATTCACGTATTCTATTTCCAATACCTCTAACTATCTCTGTGTACTACTTGAAGTTGTTTCTATTTCCTGGTCCTTCTATGTTTATTTTTCCTCTTTTTTACCATCTCAGTTTTCCTTGTGAAGACAGGCAGGGTGTTAAGTGTTAAGATCATGTATAATGTTTTTGAGTTTCTAAGAGCTTGAACAGTCAACAACAGCTTGAACCACGTTTTCATGATGAGATACTGATGTGCTTCTAATATGCAGAATTCTTAAAAATTGTTCTATCATCTTTTTGTTTTTGAAGCTTTTTGATTTAGTGTACAGAGAAGAGACTTTGCTCAATGTCATTAAAAGTGTCACCCGCAATGGACGGTCCATCATCTTGACAGCAGTTCTGGCTCTGATCCTGGTTTACCTGTTCTCAATAGTGGGCTATCTTTTCTTCAAGGATGACTTTATCTTGGAAGTAGATAGGCTGCCCAATGAAACAGCTGTTCCAGGTGGGTTTGGGATCTTTGATCTTTTTTAATGTTAAGAGAATAGTTCCTGATTTTAAGTGAATGAGAGAAAATAATGACTTTAGCAGTGTAATTATCTCCCTAACACATGGAGTGTAAGTTGTGGATACAGGACTTAAGTTCTCACTTTGTTCAAAGGGACATATGTAGGTCACATGCTAAGGATGAGTGACCAAACTTGTATTTAATTTATTCACTAATGTCATATTTTAAACTAGTTAAACTTTTTCTTAAAGAACTTGAAACCTGCTTACAATGCACGTGAAAAACAGACATATCTGGGAGAATGCTCACTGAGGTGTGAAATGTGCAATGTAATTGTAATGGGGTGTTTCACTAGATTATGGCTGTCTTTGGGATGGAATACCCTGTACCTGGGATACATCCTTATAAGCCTTTGTGGAAAAATACCCAAGAGATATTGTAGGAAATTACAGAAGAATCGAATAGTAGGGTATTTATATTTATTAAAAAGCTCACATATATCTTTTAAAATATATATCCCCAAACTGCTAGCAGTGGCTATCCCTGAGGCTTTTTTACTATATGCACATTTTACAGTAAGCTCAAGTTACTTTTATATATAGCAAAAAGAGAAGAGATTTCCAACTTTGAGAATGAAAAAACAGTGATCACATACTTTAGTGATATCCAGGTGCTCTTTCCTCTCAGTTAAAATAGTTGGCACTACTTAGTGAAATACAACTGATTTTTTAATCTGGTAGCTAAGCTCCCTAAGTCTCAGAAACAAACTGGAGTAAGTATGACTCACCGAGCTAGGCAGCCTGTCTGTCCCCTCCCAACCTCTGTATCTCGACCTGCAATTCCAGCCTCCGGTTGACACTAAGTGGCATTTACTGTTGCTCTTTTTGAGTTCTAAACTAAACTGATCTGGACCTGGACATACTAGTGCTTCTCCTGTAGACTTGGTCTAAATCTTGCTGGAGTCTGTACGTTCAGTAGTACATGAGAGTTTCAGCTGTTTGTCTTTAAAGTTAAGAGAGGTGCTATTTAAGTGCAACATTTCTAGTAAGCCTACAGGAATTGACATTTTTGGCTTCTTTCCCATCCAGATCACCAAGTGAAAGTGTAAATCACATCTCTACTTTGAATTTATATGCAGAGTTGGAGAGTGTTATTTATGTAAAGAATTGTTTAATCAGCCGTGAATTGGGGACTTCAAACATTTTAACTATATGCTGCCAGATTGTTCATCATAAAATTTCCTTCTCACTCCCAGAAACTGGCGAGAGTTTGGCAAGCGAGTTCCTGTACTCTGACATGTGCAGGGTAGAGAGTGGGGAGAACTGTTCCTCTCCTGCACCCAAAGAAGGTAAGACCGTGTAGCCTGAAGCTCCATGTGAATGTCAGAGTCCTCCACGGGCTTAGATGATGCAGGTGGTGTTGGAAGTAGATTAGAGCAAATATATTGTTCTGATTCAACCAGTATTCAGTGAGTGCCCAGCGTTTACCAGGGACTGTGTTGTTCTCTTAAGTAACAGCAGTGGCCTTGGGGAAGCATCCCAGCATGGGATGGGGGTGATCACTGGAAAGTATGCTGAATGCTGGGAATAAAGATGGAATGTAGACCATAGACCCCCAACCTAGATAGTGCAATAATCTAGGTGATATTAAAACGGAAGAATTTGGGGCAAAGGAGGAGGGTAGGTATTCCACAGGAAGGTAGAAGCAGCAGCACATGTAAAAGCTTAATGGTAAAATACAGCAAGTTTAAGGACAAAACAAGTACAGTAAGTCTCTCACTGACAAATAAGTTCCATTCTGGGAGAACGTTGATAAATTGGATTCGTTTCTAAGTCCAGATAAGTGAGTCTTATACTGTATACCTGTGAAAGCTTGCAACTCAAATGTTCATAAATTGGGGGCTTTATGTAGATAGAGAAAAGCAAGAAATGATACTAGCAAAGGGTTAGAATAATCACGAAGAGTCTTGTGTTGGGCAAAGGAGGTTATACTTCATCCAGAGCATGAGTGGGAGCTTTTGAAAGGGGAATAAGAGTGATAAGATGAGATCTGTGTTTGAGCACAACCATTCTCACTGCAACAGAAGAAGGGGATAAGGTGGGGTTCTTCCTCCATAAACCAGTAAAAATGAGCAGCCTCCAGTGTAAAGCCATTGATCTGGTGGATTCACCCCCTAATATTGGGATGAGGGATCATCAAGAAGGTGAGGAACCTGGTACCGGTTACAAATCCTCATTTGAGAAGTGAGATCCTATAACTCACACTACTTAAGCAACTTCTCTGACATGAAAAGACCACTCTATTTTCAGATAGGACTAGAGTTTAAAAATCTAAAAGGGTAGGAGGACTGTTTTAGATTTAATAGAAGGAGGGCATACTCACTGGCTTGAGGAGTTAGTAAGGGTTTGTGGTGAGAACAGTATTCCCCTAGATGCCTTTAGCTTGTGAAAGAATTTTCTTCTTGTGCCTGCCAACTCACAGGATGGCATTGAAGAAACATTATTTCAGAATCAGGGCATCTCTTTTCCTCTCATGTTTTAACTGTGTTATGATTGCCCTGTTAACAGAGCTGGTCCCTGTGGAAGAAATGGAACAGGATAAGGAGCACACATGTGAGACACTACTCATGTGCATTGTCACCGTCCTGAGTCACGGGCTGCGGAGTGGGGGTGGAGTAGGGGACGTGCTCAGGAAGCCATCCAAAGAGGTAAATGAACTCTGAGGGAAGGGGGCATCTAGGGGCAGCAGTGAAAGCACACCCAGTGGCCTTGAGTGAACTGGGGTGTGCTGAGTGACTGTGCGGAAGGAGCTAGTCAGAGCTTATCTCTCCTCCTTATTGAAACCATGTGGCCAGTCAGCATGTGGAAAGGTGCAGCCTTGTTCCTCCTGGGTGAAGTGGTTGTCTCCCTCTGGGTGGCCCACCCCTGCATATTTCCAGAATCCTCCTAGGTGTGTCACGTAACACTTGGGAGAATTTATCATGCAGACTGAGGGTAAGAAAAAGATGCAGTTAGGGGTTTTGAAGTTTAATGCCCAACATTATTTCTGACATGGGGCCACTGGGAGCTGGGCCCTGAGCTCTGTAGAGCAGGGGGCATGGAGAGAGCCACCTAATTCCAATCTCTTTCCTCCAGGAACCCCTCTTTGCTGCAAGAGTGATTTATGACCTCCTGTTCTTCTTCATGGTCATCATCATTGTCCTCAACCTGATTTTTGGGGTTATCATTGATACCTTTGCTGACCTGAGGAGTGAGAAGCAGAAGAAGGAAGAGATCTTAAAGACCACGTGCTTCATCTGTGGTAAGTGTCCTCTGGCTGTAGCTAGCTAGGGAAGGCCAGTGTGGCCGAGGGATGAGCTGTGTGCCTGTACTCTGTGGGAAAGCATGTCAGTGTGTTCTCTCGTTCCTCTCTACTACCCTTGGTAGAAAGCAGGGCTACTTGCCCTCTGTTCTTCTGGGAAGTGTTTGGAGTGATGATGAATTCTGTGCAGCAGTTGCCAACTTGTCTTATGGAATTAAGTTCCAGGGAACAGAAATGTGACTACATGGTATTTAAGACAAATGAATGAATCTCAGGGTCTTTTTGTGCTTGAGCTGCCTGAGCTTCTGTTG